TATTATTATTTGCTTTTCTATTGCCTATTAGTTTAATTTTTTTGTTTTTTTTTTGTTTTTGTTTTTGGAAATAATCTTTATTGAGAAAGAAAAACAAGATATCTATATCAGAACAGAAATAATTCTAAGAGAAGTTATTTTCTTGCTTAAAAAATGTATGAGAACAAGTACAAACTAAAATCTGAAGTTTTATATGTTAAATACCCAAATTCTTAATCATCTGTATTATATTTGCAGACTGTATCCAGGCTAAATTATTTATTTATTTAAGCATACTGGTACAACCATGATTCTGGGAGAAATCACACAAAATCATACAACATATCTGTTAACACAATACGTGAATACACATAACGTACAAATAAAAACACAAAGGTAAAGTCAAACTTAAACCTAAAAGTGCAAGAACTGTCCAAAAGAAAAAAAATTACAAAAAAAAAAAACTAGGCTATATCTTACCTAGAAAGTGAAAAAGAAAGAATGAAATTACTCTCTTATCCACAAATTGGATAGTCTCCTAAATAACCAAAGCTAACTGCTGGTTAAATAACCTGCAAACCACTTTCTAGGATGCAATTAATGTAAAATCACCAACAACTTTTACACTATGAATCTAAAAGAGAAAAATAAACCACATGAAATAAACAATTTAATCTTATTAGGCTAAATTTGTAATAAATTATCATAAAACTTGTGCTAAAAGTAATCAAAGCTGTGTCTTATGAATAACAATGTTTTTTTGTTTGTACAGTAATATTTTAACATAAAATGAACAGTACCATTACAATACTTTCATTGATGTATATTGCATATTAAAGAAAATACAGCTCATATACAATTTCTAAGAGGTTCAAACAAAACTTATTTCTTGTATTACCATTTACAAATATATCCTTTAATGATTTCATTAAGGTTTCCAAATGAACTGTTGAATTATTATCTGGCAATTACAAACTTTATAATAGCTTGATAATAAATTGATCAGTTTGTTTGGAAACTTTAATATATCAGGTTGGCTGTGGTTTATAAGATTTCATCAAGTTTTTGTTAGTAATTGAAGTTTTTAATGCATAATATCAAGCTAAGAACATGGATTGATAGATTAATAATTGTTTCATACTATTTTAATGTTATTTGGGATTATTTGGACAAATCAGAAATGAGAATTTTTCTTTTAAGACTTAATTGAAAATTCTTCCTGATATTCAAATATTAAAAATATTTGAATTATTTTTGGGAACTTGTTAGATTCTGATAATGAATTGTGACAATATATACATAATTTCAATTTATTACAAAAAATTATAGTAATTTATTTTAAGATTGTTTAGATCAGTGTTTCTCAACCTCTAACGAATTGTCGCCCCTTCAATAAAACCGTTACGTAGTATCGCCCCCTTCACTACAAAATTCCGATGCCGAGGGACAAGGCTAACGCCAAATTCGTACTGCATCGGAATAATTAGATATTTTATTTGTTATATGATACAATAATTAAACAAATAACAAATATTGTTTAATTATTGTATGATATAAGAAATAAAATATGTAATTATTCTTAATATAATGTTTTACTATATCACCCAGAAAATTGTTTTTCACTCCCCAAAATATAAATTGTTATTAATCACCCCTCAACATGGAAAAACGCCCACATGGGGGCAATATTGCCCCCATTGAGAAACACTGGTTTAGATAAATGTTTAATTTTTAAAACAATAGTTTCATAAAACTTTCTGTTATGCTTATTTTTTCATCTTTGCTTTTTTATTATTAACTATATTCACTTTATAAAATATAAAGAAAGCAAAATTATGATAATTATATAGTTTTAAATTATGATCAAATTAAATGAAACAATCATAATAACAAGTTCTTGATAAACTAGTTTAGTTATGTATATTCATTATTAATGGAGTCAGATTTTTCAAATTATACACTATTGATAAGAAATCAAGTCAAAATTTTGTAAATGGTACCAGAAGTTGACAATTCCTTCTGTACTTGCATATATTATGATTCCAATTGGTGTATCAATTAAGATTACTAATCAAACTTAAATTAAACAAATATTCAATAGTCACAAACAATGAACTTTTTATTCTCCAACACAGAAATGTCAGTTATGCAGTAGTTACTTTGAGTCTGCATTCAATTAAATTGAATGCCTTGGTTGATCTTCAGAGAATGTTGTTTGAAATAGACTAAATATTTGACATTAATACTGAAAAAATTTCAAAAGTTGTATAAATAATCTAATTAAACAAAAAATGTATTATCTCTACAATATTTTCCTTAATATATGTAAGGCAGAAAAATTGATACTTTGATTTCAGGCTAATCATTGTAATAGCCCTGAAATAGGGACAAATCCCTTTGTCTCCTTCATGAACTATATAAACTTTTTACATTTGTATTGTGCTTTATAGTAAACAGAACATAAAATCTATGAAAATGATAAATAGTAATCATGTATATATGAAATTAATTTATAGTACCTAATTTAAATGAAGTTCTTTCTTTATGTGCATGATGAAAATTGTGAATGTTAATATTTATTTTGCAAATTTACTGTAAGCTATAATTTATATTGTGAATAAAATAAATAATACTGATTAAATCTCTAATTCAGCATTCATGGTAACTCTCATGGTCTGGTATGTTTTGAATCTGCTGCCACTAATTTGTAGATGTGTTGTGTCTATTAATTTGATTGAAAGAAAATTAATTAATGACATGACAAAGTACCATAAGCTAGCTAAATTACAACAGCAGTGAAGAAAGTCATTAATAACACTGCTAAGACTTATCCCAACATAGAAAATCCACTTTTTTGCACTTAGTTTGCCTCTGTATACATGTACTTGTGACCCTACATACCATGAAGGCACTACTGATATTGAATACACTGCTTACTATGAAGATCGTGATAACTTTTGATGGAATTTGAGTTACAGGTACTACAGGTATTATTTTCAGTTTTGGACTTTATATTATATGAAACATTATTTGGAAACGTTAATAGTTGTGTTATTTTCTATTGTAAATTTGATTCTACCTTTGATAACACTGATATGTATGATGAATAAGCATATTGTTATGTACATACATTGAATCCAGCAATGGATAGATCCAGGTTGCTAGATTAAGGAGGTTCAATCTACATTGAGATTAAGATAATAAATTATAGATAAAAATTTTTTTTTCAGTTTGTATATATATAACTTGATTTAGTTCTTGTATAGATATAAATGTGAAATATGTATTACAATTTTTATTTAAGAATGAATTATATTTTTATAATTTTAACATGCCGTGAATAAGGTTAATAAATTTTTTAATTAAAATAGAAATAATCTCAAATCACAAAAAATGAAATAAATATGCAATAATTTAAAATAACTTTATTGTTTTAAATTATGAAAAAACATTGTTAATTCATTCTGATATTAAAGATAATTTTATCATAAATTAATCTTGGGAGAAAATATAAATTTCACTCATCATTTTGTATTATAATATGAATTATATGGTAATTCCAATATAAAAAGTTTGATACACAATGCGTTGTACTATATTAAGGATAAATTACTTTATAAAACTAGTAAACAAGAGGTTTATTTAACAAGAAAAAAAATGTAACAATAAGAGGAAATAAAAAATATGTAAATAATAAATTCTTACGTATAGTAGAATTCCTAAATTATACTCAAACTGGAATTATTAATTTACTTTCACACCACCTTGCACAGTTTTTCTATTTTCTCTTCTGTGGATTTAAGCCTGAAGTGGGCCCTGAACAGAGCTAATAATGTTTGCTTAGATTAGAATTTTGGAGTACAAGAAATGTTATGCATTTGGAAAAGTGTCCAAGGTGGTTTGTAAGTTAACAGTAGAATTCACTTATTATAATCATATTGGCATTTGCCTATACAGATTAGGAATAGTGAAAATTTTTCTTTTATTGATTTCATACACAAAAAGGATCCACAGCCACTCACAGCTGGATAAACTTGATTAAAAAAACTGCTACAAAAACCAAAATAATCAGCAAAAAAAGGTGAAAGAGCTAACTCTTTTGCCCATTCAACACAAGCAAAAATGTTAGCTCTTTCACCTTTTTCTGCTGGTTATTTTGGTTTTTGTAGCTGTTTTTTATCAAAAAAAATTCCATTAAAACAACTAAAAATTGTATAACTTGTGAAAGTGGGGGTAATAATTACTTTTTGAGAATGTCTTCAGCATTATGGAAATTTTAATAAATATATCACATTTAATTCATAAGAAAAATTTACATAATATTTTTAAACATATGTTCTATTAAAATCAGAATATTCACATAAAATTTTATAAAAGTTTACTAATTTGGAATAATACCAACAAAACGTTTTTAAATTTTTATAAAGTTTTATAAATTTTTAAGAGATGTTAATTATAACATAGCATAAATTGTGATAAAATACGTTACATACAGAAATAAAAGATTTTTTCCATATTAAATTCATTAGTAAAAATACTTAAGTTAACCTTTATTTATTTATAATATGACTTAAAATATACTTTATTCTCTTCTACTGAACTATTAATATACATTTTGTTAATTTGTTGCTTGATTTATGTATATTTCTAGAAACAAACTTTCCAATATCTCAAAAATTTTAGTTTTTATCAGTGTTTTAATTATTAAATATGTTTATGCAGACATAAAGAAAAAGATGCAGACAGTCTACTAGATTTTATTCTTTAAACACAAGATTATTTGTTTGATTAAATTCAGTCGATTTTTAAATATATTTTTTTTATAAAAATGAATACCTTTTAACTTTACAAAGCATTTACATTAATTTCTTGTAGCATGTTTACAAAATTTCATTTTATGTGAATCTAAAAGATTGAATTTTTTTTCCTCTATTGAAAAATGCACATCATGTTATTTACTTATGAATTTTTAATGTAAATGGAGCGAAAAATATTGAAAATTTGAGTGTTTATGCTTCCAGGAAAAACAAAGTATGATGCGACTACTCCAAGCTGCCGATAAAGCTAACGGATACGTTTTCGGACAGAGCGAAGAAAGGAACATCCAGAAATTACTTTCTTGTGCCATGGGCGCAGATTTAGATTATTCCAAACTTTCAGTGATTCCAGAAGCCGACAAAAATCAAATGGACACTCTGTGAAATTGTTATTATTTAATAAATATGTATATTTTTTAATTTGTCAATTTACTTTTCAATAAAATATATTTATATTGTTTAGAAAAAATTGTTGGAGTTTAATTTATTTGATTTAATTACATTGTGCTGCAAAAATGTAATTATTGATAAGTTTAGGATGCTCAAAAGTTATCTAATATATAATTTTAAGATTTATTTAAGATCAGTTAAGGCAAATTTGGAACAGCTGTTTGTTGTTGTTTGCAATTCAAATAATTTTAAAACATATCTTAGTTAACTGACTTTTGAACCATCTTGTATTTAATGTATTCTTATTTTTGTTTTAAAAAATCATCAATGAAATAGAAAAGTGGAAAATCATTAATAAAATCAGAAGTAATATTATTTATATTAAGCTATAATTTATATTGTGAATAAAATAAATAATACTGATTAAATCTCTAATTCAGCATTCATGGTAACTCTCATGGTCTGGTATGTTTTGAATATGCTGCCACTAATTTGTAGATGTGTTGTGTCTATTAATTTGATTGAAAGAAAATTAATTAATGACATGACAAAGTACCATAAGCTAGCTAAATTACAACAGCAGTGAAGAAAGTCATTAATAACACTGCTAAGACTTATCCCAACATAGAAAATCCACTTTTTTGCACTTAGTTTGCCTCTGTATACATGTACTTGTGACCCTACATACCATGAAGGCACTACTGATATTGAATACACTGCTTACTATGAAGATCGTGATAACTTTTGATGGAATTTGAGTTACAGGTACTACAGGTATTANTATAAGTTTTATATAGAATATTATTTATTCTATATTTTTTTTATTAATTTATGCAACAATTTTTGGAGAAATCACATATTTTTTTATATGAAAAATTATTTCTATATATATAAAAAAGTATATATTTTTAGTTAAAAATTTTAAAGTTACATTTCATATAAAATTTAAGTATTATATGTTTAATAATTCAAAGCTCAGCTTTAATAATTAGATCCATAGTTTTGCTTAGAAACATTTACTCTCTTTGTTATTGAGAAATACTTGGATATTTTATTTATCATCATTACTTTCTGAAAAGAATAAGTTGTTTACGTCTATATTCACAACCAAAACCAAGAGTTAGAAGATAATCAAGTGTTCATGTACTAAAAGTAAAGTAAAAGTTAACTTCTAACTCCAACTCTTGATCCTCATGGGTTAATACTGCCATTAGAGTATATTTGAGAATAGCAAAATTAAAATAACCACTTTGGACTTTGATAAAAATGAAATATTTTATTTAGATGAAACATACTTTTTGTTTTCTGAAATTGAGACTTTATTTGGTAAATTCTTTTTATTAAAAAATACAAAACTTTTATATAATATTCATTATTGATTATATAATCCAAAATAACTTGCAGTACACAAATTGCTATCCTCACTTAGAGAACTTTTATATACACATATCTCTCTACATTTATACTTTTTATATGAAATTATAAGCCAAATTTATTTAAAAAAACATGAGAAAATGTATAACTAAACCTGAAACCATTATTTAAATTTGCAAAAATAATATAATTATCAACATCACTTTTACAAAAAGAAATAAGCTTTAACGGAATTAACTTAAATATTTCAGTTTTTGCCATTTTGACGGGATTGAGGAAATAAGCTGTTTCAATCATTTTTTAAACCGGAAAGAGTAGTTAAAAATATTTTTAGTGTTGATGTTTTTTAAATAATTTATCGGGGAATGAAGTTATTGTCAACTTTTACGATACCGAGTCATATCCGTCCACATAAAATTTTTAGTATTTGAGTTATTGTTCATTAAAGTTAGCATCTATAAAACTGAATTATTATTTTATGTTTTAAGTAGAAATATTTTTACTTTTTTATTTTTATTTTTGCTAGAATAATAAATAAATTTATTTATTTATATAAACTGTATCTATAAAGTTATAGAACATAGGAATAAGTACATATTTTTCTATAATTTAAACTGAAAACATTTACATCAACCACAATTTATATATAAAACTTCTGTTTTCTTGTATGCTTCCAATTATTTCACTTGTTTCCTCTCATCATTAGCACTTTTCCTTTTTAGGGATTTCAGATAACAAATACTGGATTGAGATCAAGTTAGAAAGAAGCAACCAACATACTTTACACTTGTACCACTTTATTATACTTCACTAGGGAGGATTGAGGAGATTTTCATCAGTAATCCGATTAGGTAGAAAGAAATATGATTGACAAAAATTCTTATCTTTTACCCTATGAAAGAATATATATATGGAGTAGGGGGAAGAGAATGTTTGGTGTAATGTTGGGTAGTTTGGTGTAATGTTGAGAATGTTTGGTGTAATGTTTGGTGTAATGTTGGGTACACTTGATACTCATATCAAGTGTAGCTTCTTTGAAAATGTGTCATTTTGTCACCTGTCATGTCTTAAGGGGCTTCCATGTTTGCATTTATTTTTCAACGATTTTTTTCCAGCTTTTATTTATTTATTCAGGCTTATATGTAATATTTTTATGTTTAAATTTAATAATAAATTCTATATTTTATTCAATTCGGTAGAATAATTTATTATTTTTAAAGTAAACACTTTTTTTAGGTCTAAAATCTATAGTTGTTTTTTTGTGTGTGTGTTTATATATATATATTTAAAACTAATTAATTAAATAAGAAAATTTCCCCAATTTTGAACGAATATTTCCCTATTTTGGTTTACGTAAGAATTTTTTTTTTATTTGGGTTTAAAATTTTTATCGTCTAGGGAAATTACCCTAAGGTTATAAGAAAAAAGAAAACAAGGATAAATTTTCCATTTAATATTCTAGTTCCGTTGTAAATTTTCCAATAAATTTCAGCAGAGAATTATTTTTAAATATGCAAAAAGTTAATCGATCTTTTAAAATTTACATTGTATAAAATATTGATGCAAAAATGTCTGGCCAGGTTCAAAATTTAGTTGACTCGATAAATAACAGATGGCGATAGAAGACAATATTGGTGTTGGGAAGTCCTTTTATCGCATTATATATCGGAATAGATGCAACTGTCATCTCATATCAAGTGTAGCTTCTTTGAAAATGTGTCATTTTGTCACCTGTCATGTCTAGTAAAGAATTCTCTCACCCATAGATAGATGTCTAGGGAAACTCGGTTTGTGTTGACGAAATATCTGCCATTTTTTTTTCTTTATCTGAAAAAAATGAAAAAAATGGAGGATATTTTTGCCTTTTTTTACTCGTAAATTTCTTCCGCTTTTTCCCTTATTTTTCTGTAAATTTAATTCTCTTCGAGGGGGCCAATATGTTTTGTAATATTATCTATCAAACGTTTTTGTTGTTGAACGGAATGGTTTGATTCATTCGATTCTATAACGCAATGTGTGCTTTTCCCCAATAAGAGCTTTTTGTTATAGGAGTTACCTTACTCCTAAGTAGTAATTCGACGAGAAAATAACTCTGTTTAAGGATTTTTACCTTAAAATCGAGTCTAAATATGTAAGAGTTCACTCCATGATGAATATTTAAGCATAAATCTGATGAATTTAGGGATTTCTTTGGAAGATAATTTTAATAATTATTATAAAAGTGATATACTGTGTATATAGTTAAATTTAGCATAAAATCATTAAGTTTATAGCAGATGTATAGATTTAAATAGAAATTAGAAGCATCCTTAAGGTTGCGATTTCATACTCTACTTAAGGATTTTATAAAGAGCTTGAATATTCTTACAAAATCATTAAGTTTAGGGAAAAATTCCCTATAATAAGATAATTATATAATATATATTTAATTCTGGCAATAAATACACACGTACTTGATAAATTTGGCCATAAAATACTAAAACGTTTACGTCAGAGCAAGATTTCGAAAATTATATCATTTATAAAACAAACTATTACATCTAAAATACATTATTGTAAAGTAATTAGTGAAGTAAAATACACAATCAATTAATAATTAAAAATTAGGAAATTTCATGAAAGTTAATTAGACGAAAGCCTGTTATGTATATAGAGCAATATATGAGCCCATTTTTTTTAAAATCAGGTAATCGAATATTTGATAATATCTGAAAGCAAGTAAAGTCCTCTCTCAGTTTTGCAGAAGTTTTCAGACTTTTGCAATCTATCATCCGAGTAAATCTATCATAGAGTGGAGAGGGTGGCTGGAAACATAGCCACATCTGGAATCGAACGTAGATACATCACAATCACACAAGCCTATACTTTACTGCAAGATGGTACATCCTACCTTACTAGATAAACTGATGCAAAAAAGAAATTTTGGATAAGGAAAAAAAAGAATGTATATATATATATATATATATGGATTTGCACAATGTGCTTTTTTCCTCTTATTCATTTATGTCATCTGTTTTTTGTCTGTAAGATTTGTAGGAAAATAGAATAGTTGAACTTTTCAGGATTTTGACAGAAAAACTTTTCTTACATATGTGATAAGCCAAGGGTATAGGTGTGCTATCTATATCACTTATGGGCACACAATCACAAGATTGGCTCACTAAAACTTTTTCTAGGAGGGCTTTTTATATGCTGTTAAAAAGAAAGATCTGGACGGTAAAGTCTAGATCACATCAGGATTCCTTGACACCAGTTAACCACTTTTATTTTATGCGGATTAACACGCGTATTTATTCGAGAGAGATGAGAACTTGTGTTTGATTCAGATATTGAGGAGATGTTTCTTTAACAAATAAAAACAAATATTTAATGAACAAAATTAAACAAATTAATACAAAATTTGAATATACGAATAAAGCGATTTTAAGACTTTTGAATAAAATCGTTTTGAGAGAGAGAGCTCACAATTTAAATCATTAATCGTACTACCTCTATGTATCTTTATCTTCTTCTGTTCTTTAGATGAATATGACTATTCTTCTTGGTCCATCATTGGCACATATTTAAATAATTTCTTCCCTATTTACTGACTTAAACTCATTTTATAAAAACTTCGGGATTTGACTTTGGGCGTTGGCNGAATAAAGA